ACTTGTATTTCCGACAGCAAATAACGCAGTCTTGGGTCGACCTAATAAGGCGTCGTTATGTAAGCCCTCCTTAATAGCCTCCCAGTCGTTAAGGACGACAATATTTTTGAATCCCATTTGTATACTACATGTATTTAATATTTTATTAACTGATTTTAATTACACATTGTGAGATTTCATATTAAAGTATTTATTGAAAACATTGATGTAATACTAAAACTTACGTGAAAACAGAGCCGAATTTTTCGCCCAATTTTGTGACCACTTTATGTAAATCTTTGCCGAAGAATGGCTGGTATCCCACGAGTGGTATGCCTAGAGGTCCGGGTGGCAGAAGTTGTCTAACTTTGTACTCATTGTATAGATATGTAATGAAAGCAACAATTAATGTGATCAACAAAATGAATACTAAATTCAGGAGTAAATTATAAACTGATAGTATATTGGAAACCATTTTATTATAGAGAAATAAACACAGAATAATCTATAAATAATAATTTTTAAAATTTTTATAAAATAATATCCTGTTACTCAGTTATATACGGAATTTTTATGTTTGCGATCATGAATGAGACAGCAAACTTTTTGTTGCAAATTAGCTTGACTTTTGTATGGCTATGTTACTATTATTATAAATATTTTGCAATTTATCATGATTGTATTTAAAAGAAGTTTGCAATTTTGTTATATTAATAATATTTTCAAGTTTAATTAATTTTAATTTATATAAAATTATTAATAAGTTAGTTTCCTATTTGAATAAGTCATCTAATATTCAATATAAGCCAAATTCTATAATAATAATCATCTCAATAGTATTTTACAGTATATCAGTATTTTTTAGCAAAATTCATAAATTGATTAATAAAAATTTTAAAACTATTAAATGAAACATTTCTTAACCTTGCTGATAGACACCTGAAGTTTTATGGTTTAGGTAGTGTTTTATAGATACTTGTGCTATAGATAAATTGTATAAGAATAATATTAAATATGAATCCATTAAGTTATAATTATTTTAATATTATTGAGTTTGAATTATTTTTAAACAATACTCATACTGTATTATCCCTAAACAGATACAGTAATGTAAAATACTTTTAGCATGCTATAATTATTATACTATGAAAATGTTTTAATGTCTAAAAATTATCTTATTTAAATAATAATAAATTATTATTAATAATCATCATATTGATTCCTGATAAATAATATTCGTAATAATTCATAAAGTTTTCATTTTAATAAACATTAATCTGGATTAATTGAAGTTATATAAATTGTGTAGTATTTATATGTTTAAGTGCATTCAATTGAAATTTATATTATGATAGTTAGGTTTAAATAAATATAATATAAATTAATATTTATACACTAAATTAAGATAATATAAATAATTGTCATTGTAAAACTATCAAGTCAATATAAGCAAAAGATTAATTATTTATTCAGTTATCAAACAAAGTTAAAGTGACGTCAAAATGTTTTATGCTTATTGACTGTCAATACGATTTTCAATGTATTTATAATGACTCTAAAAGTAATTTTTAAAATATAATATGAGGGAAATACCTAACATTTAATTCTACATTATAATTAACAAATACATTTAACACATATAAAATACCTACTCAAAAACAGGTTTCTTGAATACAGTACACAAATGGAAAATATTTTCAATTATATAATTATATGAGTTACTCTACCTGTACTATTTATAGCAGATAGTCTGAAAACATTGTGATGTCATAAAGTTTTTATCACAAATCAAGTTTTTTGATAAGCTATAGTGTATATTCAGGGCTCTACGATGGGCATTGGTTTTTAGACTGCATCACACGACCATCTGATTAGTCTTAATCTTGTGATTTTACATTTTTGAACATGTAAATTCAAAAAATATATTTTAATACAATTTTAAATATTTGGCAATATTTTATCATCAATTATTGTATAAAGTACTCAATAAATAGCTTTGTATCAAAAAAATATAAGGCTTGTTTGTTATTAAATTCTGATTTTAATTTTTACAATCATAAAATAATGTAACAATACATTAGTTTATGGATAAAATTAACAAATATAATATTTAATTTGTTGAATTTTACATTTTAAATGGTACGCTGAACTTTCTTAGGCGGTTCTAATAGAGAATACTCTTGATTTATTATCTAAATTTGTAAAAATACTTTGATACGAAGCTATTTATTGAGTACTTTATACAATAATTGATGATAAAATATTGCCAAATATTTAAAATTGTATTAAAATATATTTTTTGAATTTACATGTTCAAAAATGTAAAATCACAAGATTAAAACTAATCAGATGGTCGTGTGACGCAGTCTAAAAACCAATGCCCATCGTAGAGCCCTGTGTATATTATTATAATATTTAAAATTAAATTCAATAATATTACTGATTTTTTTAATAAATAAATAATACATTTATAATAATGCATTAAAAGTGTTCAACGCAATGCACTAAAACCTGTATTGATTTTTGAATTATATAAATTGTGTAGTATTTTATCTGTGTTTGGTGCTTTGCGTTGAAAAGTATTATTGTCCTTGAAAATATTATGATGTCACATAGTATTTAGCAATCAAGGTTTTGGATAAACAATTGTGTGCAGTATATAAAAGCAATGATACTCTCAGTTATGATAACTAGAAGATTCAGAAACTTTTAATTCTTTGGATAATAATATTCCTATGGTTTTGTTGCCTATTCTTAACACAAATAATATGTTTTCAATACAAGTACTTTTGAATTATTTGTTGGAAAATGTTGTATATTTTACACTATTCGCAGTGTTTATCAGTTTAGTAAGACATCTAGTAATGAGTTATGTATCGAGAATGAAGTTACCCGCCGGTCCCCGAGGTTTGCCTTTTGTGGGATACCTACCATTTCTCGGCAAAAAGCCCCACAAAGACATCGCCAAATTGAGTGACAAATACGGATCTGTATTCACGTAAGTTTATGAATAATACTCTAAATACAGTAATTAGAAAATTCTTAAAACAACTTTTATTTCTGTAATTTTAAGGATATTTTAAAAATTTGACTAATGATACAAAGTCTAGTACCGTATTTAATACAATAAACTCAAAATCCATTCAAGTAAATCCAGTATTTAATTCACAAAACTGTGTAAAACTTAAAATATGATAATAATTATTGTTTTGCAAACTTAATAATGAGTTGATTTATTCATCATGTGATATAGTAATCAATTTATTTATTCTGATGAGTTACCATGTTTCAATATACAAATAATTTATTTTTTATTGTGTTTTACAGATTGCAATTAGGAGTACATAATGTGGTCATACTTAACGACTGGGAATCAGTGAAGGAAGCCTTCAATAACGACGACTTTTTAGGCAAACCCACGAGTAGTGTGTTTACAGTCGGCAACCCCACTACTAGTAATTTAATTGAAATTTATAATTATATATAAAATATAAAAATTTTAACAATACTTTCATTGAATTATAATTAGGTTTTGTTGATGACAGTGGACAGGTATGGCGAGACCACCGGCGCTTCGCCCTACAGGTGCTCCGAGACTTAGGCTTCGGGAAGGGCTCTATGGAGGACAGGATGACCGATGAGATCAGTTATCTCACGAAACTTATTGATGAGACTAATGGTGAGCCTATGAATATCCACAAAGTACTGGTGCCGAGTATGTCCAACAATATCAGTAATTTGGTGTTTGGGCGTCGATTGGAGTTTGAGGACCCAAGCCGCCAGGCTATGGACAAGATGTTGGACCAGGTGGCCAAGAGTCTTAACATTATTGGTTTGCTGGGAACTACACCCGAGTGGTTGGGCAAACTTATTTTTATAGTCGGCGCCATAGGCAGCAAAAAGAAGTTTGATGTCGTGTCCGGAATTTTTGAGTAAAAATTTTATTTTATTTTTGTTTTGTTTTAAAAATATTAATTTAAATCATTGTATGAATAGTAAGGAGATATCGTCGCACCAGAAGTCGTTTAATGTGAACAATAGAGTCAATGATTATATCGACGGATACTTAGCGGAGATGGAAGTGAGACAACGAAAGGATCCCAACACTCACTTCACCCGTCAGTCAAACCTCCCAAATATGATTGCTATAGAAGTTATTCATTAATTTATTTTTTTTTGTAAATTTGATGTTTAGTGGCGAAGTTAGGAGAGAATAGTCGAGCGTTTTTTGGTGCCGGCAGTGAAACTGTGAGGACTTCTGCCGAATGGCTCCTATTATTGGTCGTTAAGTACAGCGAACACCAGAAGAGGATTCACTCAGAGATCGATTCTGTGGTCGGAAGAGATCGGAGTCCCTGTTATGCCGACAGACTTCATATGCCGTTCACTCAGGCGTTCATTAACGAAATGTTTCGTTGGAAAACTATTTTACCACTAAATCTGATGAGAAGGTATTAATAGATAAAATTGATAATTAAAGAGAATTAACTAATTTTCTTAATTTTAATAATTAACAGAACTCTAAAGGATACGACAGTTTTGGGTCATTTCATACCTAAAGACACCAGAGTTATGGCCAATATATGGGCCGTTCATAACGATCCCAAAGTATGGGATAAACCGGAACAGTTTAATCCGAATCGATTCCTCACTAGTGATGGCAAAGAATTGCTTAAAACCGAGGCTTTAATACCATTTTCCTACGGTTTGTTAAGAATTTTTATTCATAAAAAAGTAATATTTAAAGAATATTCTGTGTTTGTATTGATAGGTAAGCGTTCGTGTGTTGGGGAGACATTAGCACGAGTGCAGGTATTCTTGTATTTCGTATTACTTTTACAAAAATACACAATAAGTGCAGCAAATGATGAGGTGTTGACTTTGGACGACAATTTTGGTTTAACACTACAACCTAAGGATCCAATGGTACTTAGGTTTCGGAAACGAGTCTAAAATATTGCTAATAAATATTAGGATCGTATTAAGCACTTACTTCATTTGTATAAGTCAATTAATTATATTTATAATTTAGTGCAAAATATTTTGTATATAACAAAGCAATTAAATTATTATACTCTCTATTCACATACATTATTATGATAAAATGTAATTAAATTCAT